TACAACTTTAGAGGATGTAATGGTGCCAATCAAAGTAAAAAACTCCGAAAATTAACGAAATCAGATTTAATAAATTAATTAGATGTTACACGTATAATGGTGTTCTGGCAAGTGAAGGATGACATTAGAATTCTCTACTACGTGCCGAGCGCCTATGCAAATTTTATTAATTATGGTTTTTACAACTATTTGCTCTCTCAATTAGAACAGGCGTTTACGCCTGAACAAATGGTATTCAAAGAAAACTCTTGTCAGGCTATCTACTTTAACTCTTATCTAATATATATTAGACACAGCAACACAATAATTTGTTTGAAGGTATTTTTTTGTCAATTTGTACCTCCTCAATTAGGTCAGTAAAGCATTGAATTTGGTATCGTCATCTTATGATCAAACCGGGCAAGGTCTATTAAAACTAAGTACAAAGCATAACCTATCAAAAAATTAGACTATACAGATAACCACCACTTTACAGTACCTACCATCCGCCAAAAATAAAAAACCGCGTATTACAATATCTATAATAATCAAACAAGACTAACCTAATTTCGCTTCATGTTGATGATAACAGGCGAACCAGGCGTATGTATTAAATTTTATGTTATTTGCTCAGGACGACATGATTACAGTGCTGGGCGTGGACAAACAAGTCGGGGGACAACGGCGGACGGACGGGGGACAGATGGGGATGTAGGGGACAAAAGGGAGGACAGGTAGCCGTGTCGCTTACAATGTAAGTAATCTTTGGTTACAAGACTCTGTAGTTGTTTAGGTATTTTTTGGTGGCTTGGGGAGTTGGAGTGGTAATGTTTAATGTGTTTGGAGTAAGATTTTTTGAGCGGTTTTTTGTTCAGATGTTCTAGTTCTAAGTTGTATGGAGATGGCAAGGATGGGTATAATATAATATACCATGTAACAACTTCTTTTTACCAATTAGTTACTCAATTTTAAACTCATTTTAGCCTGCAATCGGCAAAATTTTGGACTCCATGCTACAAAAACTAGATCTACCCAGGCTTGAAATTAAAAATCGAAACATAAATTACCAACAAAACTATGTAACTAGAGAATTGTATTGTGAACCTGATTGAAAAAGAGTAACCTATGGAGTTTCTTGCTTGTTCTTTTACATAGGATTCTATACTTTGGAACAAGCAAATAGAATCAGAGTACTGAATGACAGACGAAATTTTTTTTTAATACTTAATTAAACATTTTGTTTTGATGTTCAAGTTTCCTAGTCTAATTAAAATAAATGATTTTGACTTTGATTAAAAATCTAATCGATAGACATACTCGAAACTAATTGATGAATCAATCAAAGCAATTGTTATTTTTTGAGGAATATGTTATCATACTCAACGGAGTGTTCGTAGTATACTTTTTTACGCCTCCTTTTAAAGAACAGACGATAAATAGGGAAGTATGGTGTTTCCTACACTTCTATCAACCTCTTCAAGGAAAATAGGTGTGACGTCATTGTCTGAAGGGTCAAAAACATCGTCTGATCTCTTAGATATTGTCACAAAGTCTCCCCTCGAAATATTTGTCATAGAAATTGTCAAAAGAATAAAAAATATTTCGCGAGATTCTTCAAAGTAAAAGGTATCAATTGACGACGAGAAATATTTGAGATTGTATCTATGTATAGCTATGAGAATAACGCTGTTGTGTGTGACAAATGAATGAGAAACAAAATTCAAATAAATATTATGTTTTATCAAAGTTTTTTGTGGGAATAAAATTCTTATTGAAGATTTTCGGTTCGGGTCTGGCGCGTTGATTTCAAAATGCCGCCGGCAGTTCGTTTAGGGTGAAACCGTTATAATTGAGTGTGTACATTCACGCCTAAGGTCAAATAGGGGTTAGTAGACAATAATTGATTATGATTTCGACTCGGAAGTTGATATTATGATTCAAAACAGAAGAGTGTTTAGTAACGCTATTGCATGGTAGATGGCGTTAGTTGTAGCTTGGTGACGATAATTATAAGAGATGATGTTTTTTGTAAGAGCGTGTTAATACAGTCATGATTATAACTCGGAATACGATTCTTTTGTAAGTCAAAATTGCAAATTTTAGCAACTAAACCAACAGAAGATAACAGTTACGCAATCTGCTAAAACATAACTAAAACTCATTTCATCATTAATTAAAAACTTGCACAAGTAATTACGAGTAGTTTAAAGTTTCATATTTCCTTGCATTACGTTTTATATCACTCTATAACAAATGTATGAGGATGTAGTGTTCTCAAACCGAATTAAGGACCTACCCCAAGATTCCCTGGAGCGTCGTTATAACTGACTGAGGGAATACTCCTACAGGATAGACATTCAAATAATAAATGAAGCACATCAAACTACGCTAACCTGCTTTAGATTGCAATGGGTCTGCATTAAATCTGACTATGACTTATTTACAATTTCATAACAAGCAACGTACTACTAACGCCATCTAGAAACAAGTAGCAAAATTAAAATTAACAAATGTGTCTTGAAATAAATTGGAAAGAAATAAAATGCAATGTATTGGCAATAAAATTAAGTGATGAGACTCTGACCAATGACAATGACCGCCCTCTAATTTTAATTAGTGGAATACAAACGGGAGGGTCGAAAAAATTAAGTAATCGCTTTGTATAGGGGTACCGCCCGCATTTTAAAGGGATTTGGGGTGTGTTTGATCGCGTTTGTGACGTTGATCTCATGTTGAGTCATAGGGGTGATTAATAAACTACGTAATATTGTTTGTAATGGACTATAGAAACTGTTGCTCAGCGTTTCGATTAACGAATTATCTGTGGGAGCTTGGAATGAGTTTGTTTTTGTACTCGGTACTTGGTAGCTACAGGATTAATGTAACACAGCATAGAAAATTTATAACAAAAAACAAATTTAATATTTTAACAGTTAATGATACAATTAATTATTTTTGAAAACAGTTTTCAATTTATTGTTGTACTGTTTAATGTCACTCGATAACAGATGGCGCTACACATAAATTAACTGCTAACAATTCAGCACACCCAGAAAATATTTCCAGCAAATAAAGTAATCTCATTTAAATCACCGCAAAATATAAAACGAGATCATCCAATTCACAATGCGGCCGCGAAATAAAAACACAACTACCCGCGACTTATAAAAAAAATCACAAAAAAGTTGCTGCTACTCGCTTCTAGATGGCGTTAGCGGCTTACTAATTTCCCATCAGGATTCCCAGCGGAGTGGAAGCGTTTAATTAATTCATTACCCCGCGTCTCGGCCTAAGAGGAGGGAAGGGGGGGATAGGGCTCGCGATATTCCAGTGAATAATGTATAAAGATGTTTTTGACATGCAGACATGACCGTGTTTTGTTGAATTTTGACGTGAAAATGAAAATTTTATTTCGAATTCACAATCCTGAGTTCTGAGGCCTTAGTACGGGTTTGTTTTACGTTTAAAGTAATCGTAACGAGTTCGCGTTCGGCGCTGTGATTGGTTGCTTCATTGGCGCCGGCCAATCAGAGTGCCGAACGCATACTCGTTTCGAATACTTTAAACGTAAATCACACTCGTACTAAGGCCTCTGAACACGGATAGATGATTTTCAAAGACATTTAAAGCGTTGCGTTTTGATTTTTTTATTTCTTTTGTTGTTATTTTTGTATCGAGTTCTGTATCTATGTTATTTTGACTTTAGTAACAGTATTTAGTTACATTACAAACATAGGTCTTAAACGTAGCACAATGAGTGAAAAGTGGGTGATCTATAGTTTAAACACACCTCTGTCCACCCCTTCGAGGTTTAAAAGGTCGGTTTCTCTACATTACATAATGTTAAAGGAACCAACCCCAAAAATACAACAGCCAATCAACAGTCCGATTGCCGTATTATTTGCTGAGCACACAAAAACATTTTGTTTCTAATCATAAAGTAAATCACTTAGGGAATTCAACGTAAGTTATTATTTTGTTATTTTTGTATAAAATAATTCTTAATAAACTAAAAATCGCGGGCTACCCACGTGAATATACTGAGGAAAGCTCTACTAGTTTCGAAACAGAAGGGTTCTTCCTCATGAGCAGTGTGCGCGGTCGCGGCGTTGGCGCTTGCGTCAAATAATCCTCTTATAATTAGGTTCGTTTATAAAACCGATATTAACCTCCTCTTTTTTAAAATTGATAAATTAATATACTGAAACCTTCTACAATGTGTAACCAAGCAATTTTCTGAACACTGCATCTAAATCGGTTTACCCAATCGCGAGAAAACCGTAGACAAACATACATATACCTCTAATATACAACTTACAACCTTTTTTGTGTAAGTATGTTAATAACTGTTGTTGAACTGCTGTCCAACATATCATAGGTTTGAATCCTACAAAGAACAACTCTTATAGCCGTTTAATTCAACCCCTAAACCATCTCTTAACTAAAAGTTACTTAGAACGACGTAGCATCTGAACTAATCGCTTTAAAAGGTTTAGGTTTATCAAAGAGCACTGCTGCCTGGTCTATGTCTAATGTGTAGTGTCTTAATTTGGTCTTATTGTACCCGCGGGAAGAGTAAGTCAAAACAAGTCAAAACTCTTATTTCAATTAGACCAGAAAGATACCTAGATACTTTTGAACGTAAACAAAATTTTAACAGTGAAGAGTGAAGCGATTTGATCATTCCAAGGTGTAGATTCCTATGGAGAAGAACGAGCCAGAAACTCCATAGGTTACTTTTTTTCGCGCGCCTCAAAGAGCCATCAGACTACCACAGATGGGGCCCAATAGGCCTTATGCCATTCGGAGCCGCGGAGAACTTAACGGGTTGCCGGGGCTCTGGCTCGAAATTCAGGGGTAGGAACGGGGTGGTTTTTAGTTGGTAAGAGTCTGACACTTCCTCTCGCCTCTCCCAGGCAGGAGAACACTTTCGATGATTTTCCCCCCTTACAAAAAAACCCCATTCCTACTCCTGCATAGAATAAAACAGATAAAATAAAATAGAAAATACTTATACTTACAATAATAGTCCTCCATTGTCATTCTCGAATTGTCATGATGTAATTTTTGTCATAAAAATCTGTAACAAGAAGATAATACATAATATAAGTACATTGTTTGTTGGCACAGGGTAACGCGGGCGAAACCGCTGGCATAAGTTAGTTTTGATAACTTTTCTTTAATTTTAAACATCAGTGCTGTACATAAAAGGGCTCTGCTTATCCTTGTGTACACAATAGGCCAGATGGTCGACCCCTATTCCTAAGTCTGACCTAATATTATACAAAAACACAATTTTGTTCATGATAACTAGTCACACATTAACATAGATTTGAATCGTCCTAGAAAAATGGACAAAGATGTGAGACTTTGACTATTTTAAAACATTACACATATAACATCACGCTTTTTAACCCCGAAATGGTAGGCAGAGGTGCACAGTACGGCACTTAATGCCACTGTACAATGTAACACTTACTTTTCACTACTTATGTTATGACTATGAGTCCCATGTAATAGGGGGTGAGCCTATTGCCATATACCGGGCACAATTCCAGACTCTGTGTTACTACTGAGATTTTTTTTAAAACCCAGTAGACCGAGCCCGACACGGGAATCGAACCCGAGACCCCTTGCCCGGCAGTCGCACTTGCGACAACTCGGCCAACGAGGCAGTCAGTAGGAAAGTAAGTAGTAGGCGAGGCAATAAGAAGAACCAGGCTCTCATGATCTTGCTTTTTAAAATCTTTCCTTACATCGGAAGCTCAATTTATACTGGATCTAACACCAGTTAATGAAGACTTCCTTACAATCGACGCGACGGTCAATTTGTACTGGATCTTCCACCAGTTAGTCATGACCTCGCTTTCTATGATCCTTCCTTACAATCGACAGTCAACTTATACTGGTTATTCATAGCTTGATTTGTAACCGTATATATTTTTATATGCTAATAATATACACAATAACATAGACAAGAACTTTTGTGAACTCTGTTAGAGATAGGAACTCCCTAATCTTAAATGTTGACCTAATTTCGACCACACGTGTGTCGTTCAATGGAAAAATCATTGATTTTTTATTTCTTGTTGTACACTTTGTACAGATTCAAGCGATTATGTTATTTAAGGAGATATACTCAAATAAATACAAGAAGACGTCACCCCTTTTATTCATGGACGAGGTAGACAGAGGTAGTCATATACAATGTAACACCCACTTTTCACTATTTATGTTATGAGTCCCATGTAATAGGGGGTGAGCCTATTGCCATATACCGGGCACAATTCTAGACTCCTACTATTAACTGATAACATCCCAAAAAGGTCGTGGTGGCCCGCAGGTTAAGGAACTCGCTTCTCATGCATGAGGGTGCGGGTTCGAAACCTACCAACGGCAAGTCCCAATGTGACATTTTCGAGTTATATGTACTTTCTAAGATTATTTAGACACCACTGACAAACGGTGAAGGAAAACATAGTGAGGAAACCTGGGCTTATAATGTCTAATTATAAGTTTGAATTCGCCAACCCGCGATGAGCAAGCGTGGTGATTAATGCTCAAACCTTTTCAGTGTGAGAAGAGGCTTTGCTCAGTGGGCACTTATAGGCTGTTGGTGATGGTGATTGGTGATGATCCCAATAACACATTTGCTCGACCCAAAAATCGAACTCAAAATCATTTTGGTTTGCAGTCATATTAACTCGTCGAGTACCGGTTTTGTAGACACAATTATAGAACAATAGGTTGCGGTCACCGGTGACCGCTTGGTGTTTGACAGTTTAACGACCATTCAGCCAATGATACAGTCTTTACAGTATTTCAACGATGAACAATTTATGTGAGTATTTATGTATAAGTAGGTATGTATGTGTGTGTACGCATCTACTTAAGCAATGACGTCATCGCTTGACTTATTGACTTTCAACACTAATACATATTAAAATTTTCATGTTTCAAACTCAATATTAAATCCCTATTGGAAGGTAATTCAACTAAAGTTGTAGATCGCACTGTAAAAGGTTCAGGTTTATCAGAGAGCATTGCTGACTAGTCTGTCTAATGTGTTGTCCCATAGTCGGGTATACGATACCCGTGGAAGAGTAGAGGTGCAAAAACGTCACTACCGTCGTTACATTAAAAAAAAAATAGGTCGCAATATCCGTTCCATTCATGAAACACGTGTTCTAAAATCAAAAGGAATACTTATTCACTGATACTGGTCTTTATCAACGACGTTCCAAATACGAATTTAAATTTCAAATCCCGAACGCGACCGTTACGATTCCGATCTCAAAATTTCAAAAGTGAGTTCCGATTCATTTTTTTGTTGTGGCGTTCGGGATTTTTGAATTTGAAATTTCGAACTACTTGGTACGTGGTGGCCTAGTTTTTATTGAATTTTAACGGATTTTTTTGTTTGTTTTTTTTTTCTTTTATGACATTTATGTCGATGGTATTCATGTATTCTGCCTTTTTGGTAGAGATTCTAGATAAGTGACGCAATGTAAGTATTTATTTAAATCATTCTTTTCAATGATTTTGGGGACATATTTAAATAGACAGATGTTTATCATAGTATCCTTATTCATAAGTAAGTAGGTACCTACATATTTTTACTGACTACTAATCAAGTAGTTTTATTTTCAGTATAGATTGATTCAGTACAGAGACAGTAGCCATTGTTGTACTAAATTGTACGCTTTGTAACGAAGCCATGTCTTCAGTAACTCAGTCGGCTCTAGACAACCTATGGCTACTGTCTCTGTACTGAACCAATCTTTGTTTTCCCACCTGCAACTAAATAACATGGCGTAGCTATAAAGAAAATGTCTTTATGACTATATACTTTTTTTTTAAGGGGGGAAAATCATCGAATGACTGCTCCCGCCTGGGTGAGGCGGGAGGGAGTGTCAGACTCTTACTGACTAAAAACCACCCCGTTCCTTCTCCTGCACGTCGAGCCGGAGCCCCGGTTACCCGTTAGGTTCTCCGCGACTATGACTATGACTATATACTAGCGACCCGCCCCGGCTTCGCACGGGTGCAATATGCATGTACTATACATACAAACCTTCCTTAGGAATCACTCTATCTTTTAAAAAAAACCGCATCAAAATCCGTTGCGTAGTTTTAAAGATCTAAGCATACATAGGGACAGACAGACGGCGGATAGCGACTTTGTTTTATGTTATGTAGTGATAATAGAGGTAGGAAGGAATGAGAGAGAGGAAGCAATCAGCGCGCTCACTCTTCGATTTCCTCACATCCTTTACAAGCTTACTCATTTTAGGTATTCCCTAAAGATGTAGGGTAGGCAAAGGTGATCATATTATAGGACAAATGTTTTTTTATTAGTTATAAGTATAATGAAAATACAGGGCGACTCTATTGTGGTAAATAATAAAAATCAACAGCCTTTAAGTGTCCACTGTTGACCTCTCATAGGTCTCTTCTCACATGGAGAAGGTTTGAGCATTAATCACCACGCTTGCTTGCGGGGCGGCGATTTCAAACTAGTATAATTAGAAATTATAAGCCCAGGTTATCTCACGATGTTTTCCTTCACCGTTTTTCAATCGCATTAATATTTTGTCTAAATTGTTGTCCTATAATTTAATGCTAATTTATGTACGTAGGTAGTAGGATTTATGAAATAGGTACCTATCTAGTAATTGTAAAAGGATGTGAAAAAAAAGGAAGCGGCAGAGACGTCGGTGTTTTCCATTTTCTCTTCTGCATAGATAGACAAAACTAAAGAATTGTATTGTGAACTGGATTGAAGAAGAGTACCTAACCTATGGAGTTTCTTGCTCGTTCTTCATCATAGGAATCTACACCTTAGAATGAGCAAATAAATTCACTTTTTTTCGTTGACGGTCAAAAGTGTCTTCTTGGTCTAATTGAAATAAATGATTTTGACTTTGACTTTGCATATGCGTCTACTACGTCCTATTGGCGGTTTTAATGCCTGTTTTGACATTCAGAAGCGTTTTCTTTGGTGTTATTAGCTACAAAGGTTTAGTACATACTATATTAGTTACTACATAATATTTTGATTCTAATTTTAGCAAGAACCTATTACTCCTGGCAATACAATCTCCCATAATATGACAGTGAACAATTTTATCAGTCGTAAGTCCCCTGTGCGTCACTCGGGAACAAGCGCGATTGGATTCATCCGGCGACAAATTGTTGCTCCACGGATGTCCGCCATCGAGTTCTGTATTTAAAACTAATGTTTATAAAATCGTCTATGGTTTTAACGGTCGATTTTTGACGTTTGGACGGATATTGGAAGTTCGGTGTCTATGAATGGCTGTTGTTTAATTGACTGTATACATTATTATGTGTTTCATTAAAGTTGTGTTATGCGTCTAAATATCCACGTTTTTCTTATTCTTTTACTAATTTAACCCTTTAGAAGGTTGCAAAAACATAAAAGACAATGATTTTCTTGTGAATAATTATTCAAAAAACAATTCAGTGGGTACTCAAGAAAGTAAAAAAATCAAAAGTAATCACTTACTTACTACCATAAGCAACGGAGAATAGACAATGAATAAGAGGAACGCATTCGAAAAATTTACGAATCTCAAATGCGGCTTCCATTTTTAAAATTAAAGCGGTTTTTTTACTCTGTGTTTCTGCTTTTTATTTTTTTAATTAAAAAGGTCGGTTCGCGATACGATCGCGCTTTGTCATTGCTTTTTATTTACTTTTTTTTCAGGGTCCCGTAAAATAAGGACTTGTGTATAAGGTTTATAAGGATACTCGCTGTTAGACTGTCTCGTTGGTAGACTGAGGTGAGAGTTGCGATTGCTGAAAACACAATTCAGCAGGGTTGGGCAAAGAGTTATTAGAGCTTTTATGGGTACTAGGACTTTAGTAATTAAGTATTCTTGAGGATGCTAGCTATAGACCTGACAGGTACCTATTATCAAAGTGTAAAATGAAAATGTTAAAAAGTAAATAATGTTTCTTATCATTTTTAATACGGAACCTATTCTGCACAGTTTTGACTTACAATTCATAGAATTTTCAGGGACTGTTTGAAGAGTTTTGATTATTATTTCTTAG